TGGGAGTTGAAGTCCACTCATCTTAAAGTGGCCAAGTTTGGACAACACTGCCATACACCGTAAGATTTTTTTAAATATAACTTCATTAAAATTTTAAAGAGAAAGATAACAAAGATGTTATAAAAAGAAGAAAAGAAAAGAATATAAAGAAATGATTTCTGACTTTCTTTTACAGCAGTTATAGGTATAAACGTAAATTAACTTCTTACTCTATGTGTCGTGAACCTGCTACACGCGCACACACACACACACACAGAGGAGTCTGCATTCCGATACAGTACGGGGACAAGGTTTTCACAAGGTGAGAGGCTACAAACTTGCCTGACAGCAGAAATAGTCGAGTCCAGTCCGAGATAATGCAGAATGAAGAATCGTAGCTAGTCCGAGTCAGGGTTCACAGGGTAGCAATCCTCAGAGGAACACGAGTGAGACACGAGCAAGTAACTAGATGGTTGTTGTTACTGAAGACTCCCCGTCTACTGAGTCTCATTTTCTAATAACTGCCACTGTTCCTCATTTCTGAGGGCGAGTTTCCCTTCTCACAAGTAACCTCACCGAACGCCTTTGCAGAGCTCTTTTTTCAGCAGAGCTTGAGCATCAGATGGTCTCACGCTCTCTGCCTCGTTATCGGAGACTGAATCAGGCTGCTGCTCGCTATCCAACCCCACCTCTTTCAACTGCTCAGCCTGCTGTTCATCCGATACCTCTGCCTGTTCCAAATTCACTTGGGCTTCAGAAAGTGCTGGCTCCTCAGCCTCCAACTCTGAATCTGATTCAGAGCAGACCATGACACTATGGTTACATCATTGTTACATTTTTTTCTATAATCTGTTCTTTTTTTCCTAATCATCAAATCCATACACCAAAATTTCATTTTTTTCAGTTGCCCACAAAAAGTCAATAAGGGGATTCAATCAGCATTAAACTTAGACAATGTCTTATCTCTAATTAAAGCTGTCAATTTGGCCATCTCAGCAAATTCCATAATCTTCACCATCCATTCCTCCATTGTGTGTAAAGTCAAAACTTTCCACTTCTGTGCATATGATGCTGCAGTTATCATATACAAAAACAAAGTTCAGATATTTTTTTCCATTTATCCATCAGTCCCAAAAGAAAAGTCTCGGGTTTCAATTGTATGTCAGTCTTTAAAATCTTCTGTATTATATGTAGTTGAGTCCAAACTTTTCTAGCTTTTTTGCATGTACACTAAGCATTATAAAATGTCCCTTCTTGTTGATTACATTTCCAGCATAAATATGAAGTACCTTTATAAATTCTAGACAGTTTTTCCGATGACATGTACCAATGATACATCATTTTATAGAAATTCTCTTTAAGACTATAACAATGTAAATTTTAGCCCTTTCAACTACATATTCTCCCCTTGTTCCATTTGTATATTATAATCAAAGTTTTTAGCCCATCTCATCATACATTCTGTGTTCTTCTTGTTTCAAATTTCAACAACAGTTTATACATTTGAGCAATATGTTCATCATTTGTACACGATTCTGTTTCAAATTCAGTCTTACAATGTTCAAAACCAGAAGTTTTTATCTACTTTAAATCTTTTTAGTAACTGTACATAAGAAAACCATTGACATGTACAGTGGGGCAAAAAAGTATTTAGTCAGCCACCAATTGTGCAAGTTCTCCCACT